TAACATCTTTTTCGGACATGCATTCCTCGTCGGAGGACATCACCCACTTCTCTTCCTCGACCATTGCTTTCCAATTCGCGGATTTTGTCTTTACATCAGGAAAAGCCTCATCGGAATCGCGCGATCTGGCATTTCTGATTGATCGAGTGCGACAGGATGTTGCTGAAGCATCGCGGCTCTATCTCTCTCCGACGATCTTGAATTTTCTGGATGCTTGGCCTGACAAGAAGTCGCGAATTGACGCCATACTTCTTGACATTCACCGCGCTTTGAACGACATTGGCGAATATGTTGCCGACACATTCCGGGTACCAGGTGATGAAGGAGAAACATTTGGAGTGAAGCGGAAATTGGAATGGATTTCGCGCCAACACAAGAAGATTACGGCTAAGCAGCAGCTACTATCGACATGCCACCACAGTCTTGTCACTGCCATCAACATAATGCAGACAGTAGAGTTATGTGGTGTCAACAATGGAGCCTGGCAAGATCCCATATACGAAGCTCCCGTCCATCCTTGGGTGAAACCGGATCACACAGACGTTCTTCGCGGGCCGTACTCGAGACGAGAGACCAGACTAAGTCAGAAGAACCTTTCCCTCTCTAGCGTGTATCTACCACAGATAGAGCAAGAGAGCATAGAGAGTGCGTACACACACAAATTTGTGAGCGAAGTTCGAGCTCAACTAACGATGACGCAGCGCACTCCGTGAACTCCATTCCGGCTGAGCTCCCTGGCAGTACAGTTGAAGATCTTGCTATATCTCATGAGAGCATCAGATTGTTATCGAGACGTCCACAAAATTCTCATCGACACTCCTCAGCTCGTCGAGCGTACTTCAGGAATTCGGTTAACGATTCAGTGAATTACCTCACAGGCAAGGATCCTGCCCTGTCCAATGATAGCTCACCAGTTGCAGAACTGGAACATACCCGACTTCAACCGCCTCCCAGCTTCCTCACAGCAAGAAGATCATTCGACAGCTCTCTGCATACATACTTAACTACCACGACCGATACTTACCAAGCCTACCATCCTTCGATGCGCCAATCCTCAGATGTCGCTCAACCTCTTCCTACACTTGCTGAAAAAACTATCGAACGCAATGACTCGACCACTTCAACAACCGCCATTGTCAGCGTATCGCAAGTAGCCAAACGATGTCATGCCAACCCTGTATACATCCGCAAAGGTCGTGATAGGCACCGGTCCCTACCTGCATCGCTGCCGCATGTGCAGAGCCATTCGTCTCTCACGGACGACTTGGCGGATTACATGACTCACTTGAGTCCTCAAGGTGATCAAGTGCCGAGTGTGGAGTGCCATGCCAACTTAGATACGACATCACCGTCGATATCGTTCGTGTCATCCCCAGCAGCAACAACACAGGCTTCGATGCCGCCTATCGAGGCTAGAGCGCTTTCCAGAGACGATGAAGCATCTGGGATTATTGAGAATGAAATAGACATTACTTGCATACAGTCCCCAGAGCCTGGCGACGACGCTCTCCATAATGTTTCAAATGCCGAAACAGGAGCAGAACCTAGATCAAGCGTACAGCACATTGTATCAGTAGAAAAAGGCAATGTGCCTAAAGAGTGTGCGCCATCCATCCGAAGTATTTCCAGCATTGTCAATCGCAGGCCACTTCCAGCTACCGCAACCATCACCCCGCCGCCTCCACCTACAGCGGCCATTGCTCCTTGGGCGTTAAGCAATGCTACATCAACAATCGAAGCTCTAGCGACGACCACCGATACAACACCTGAAGTCGCTGAACCAACGAATGATGCCCACAATTCCACCCAGGCAACGAAAGACTGTCAGCCACCAGGTAGCCAAGCATCGAACCCGTCCACAACTCCGTTGCCATCAATACAAGACGACGATTTTCCTCTTCGCCTGCTCCAACAAAAACTCCTGCACCAAACTTACGTTCCGGAATTTCCCCAACCACCACCAGTTGCCAAAAAAGTCACAGACATGGACAAAAGCACAAGCGCGCCACCAGCCACGGCTGTAGTGCCAAAGACTCCTGAACTGCCATTGGTCACCGATAAGTCAGCGGATGGAGATAAGAATGAAAGTGCACCACCGACCAAGGTGCTTCAACCAATCGCAAGTACAGCTGTGCCATCGATCACAACAGCGCGACTAGAAGTGACGCCGGCAAAGCCCATGTCTGCACAAACTAAGCGACGAGCTGCGCATCAAAGGCGCATGGAATTGGCATTTGGAAAGAGCTGAGGGTGCTTAAATGTCACGGTGAGTTCGGATATGCAGCCTAACTAATTCGAACTAAATCCGGGATTTAATTGAACTTCGACTAAATCCGATTTGAATTTGATTTCGAGTTCGATATCAACGTTGTGACATGCTATGGCTAAAGTGACTACAATCGTAAATCTTCGTCCGAAACAGGCTGGCAATGCAATTGAAATGTGGATATCCCTCCGTAGAATATTGAAGTAGTGCTGTTTTGAAAATCGAGGTCCTCGAAAACATTATCGTTCGTTCTCCACGACTTTTACGGTGTCGAAATACCGTGGACATAGTCGATCAGATTGGATGACGTAGAGGTCAAGTAGATGCGTTCTTTGAGATCGCAATGACGTGTTGATGTTTCCTCCTCCTCTTCCCTTCCTTCGCGTCCTTTTGGACCCGATTGAGGAGGCATTTGCAGATTCGTGGTGAAATGGGGTATATATCAAGATATCCGTCAACCTCTCGATCTTTTCTCTGGCTTCTCAACCTTCGCCCGTAATGACGCCACCTCTTGCTCCATGCTGTTGAGTCTCTCCATTACGGCCGTGAGGTCCTGTCTCATTTGCTCGCTTTCCTGTTTCATAATCCGATAATTCCGTGAATCTTTGACTATTTTGCGCTGAAGATCTTCCCTATCGCCCTCCAGGCTGGTGATGTTGTCTTTGAGATCGGAGTTTTCGTCCTTCAGGTGTTGGATCCGCTCGGTCAAGGCGCGATTTACGCGCTCGGGTGCTGGGCTTCTGGGAACTGGACTTTTTGGGCTGAGTATTGAGTCCTGGAATTTGGTGATAATAATCTGCTCGCTTAATGTCCTTCGCGGGTGTTTTTTGGGTCGTGTTGGGGCATCTTCATCTCGTTCGCGCTTGATCCTGACGCTTATGCTGTCAGTGGCTGATCGCGTGATTGGCGGAGCTGGCGACAGTTCTGGAATATATTGTGAGGCGGATGCTAAACGTCATGTCAGCCAGTTACCACTTCGGATAGATATATCTCACGTACAAACTGTTGATGACCGCTTAGGTCGTACAGGAACGTTGTTGCATGACGGCGGAGAAGTGACGTTTCCAGAAGACCGCCTAGTTGGTGGAAATAAAGGACGGTCTCCTCCATTCTCAACCCAGAGACAAGCGTCTCGAAAGTTCCTGGTGAACATTGTCGGATCTGACTTATTTCGCACTAGCTCTTTCACGTGGCCCGCAGCCAGGAAATAGTATAGTATCAAGGCGGATACTCGATGGATAGCTTTTGAACCTCCAGTATCATCTCCGACATGGCAAAAGGGCGCGTGGAAGGCGACAGTAGCTGTGGAATTCACCGGTTGGAGCTCAAAAAGGTTCTCACCATCCTCGACCTCGGCAATTCGATAAAAGCTGACTTCTGCTTCATCGCAATGCACATGGGCGACAACACGATCGGTGGGTTCTTCTTCAATGTCCGGCCCTGGTGCGTAGCCGCCTATGATAAGCAGCTGCTTGTGCGTCGAGCGACCTAGCGACCTCCAGACCGGTCTGCTCATGGAAAACTCCTCGAAGCCGGTCCAGTTAAGCTTTGTATGTTTTGGGAGGGCGCGAAATGGCGCCGAGAAATGATTGCGCCCCCATGACTGCACGTTGTCGTTTGTCAGAGGAGATCGCGCTTCAGTGAAGTCTGGCATAGTGCTGATAATAGCCGCAGCGTCATGCGATGCTGATCCACGAGACGATCATGCGAAATAGAGGCGTTCCGCTTGCGAATACTTCCGATTACGGGATCCCATAGCCGACCGCCTGAAGAGAGGCCTGCGCAGCAATCTGCAGGCGTGATGAGTGTCGTGAAGAGCGCGCTGCGGCGCGGTGTGCGCGGTGTCCTCCCGGCGCATGTTGTGGGGCCAGGCGATGGCTAAAAACGGAAGGCGGAAGCGGAAGGTGCACCGTCATCACATGGGAAGGCACGCTACTTTGGGCCACCGCGATATTCTGAAAGATCTCGTCTCTGGTGGAGAAGAACGTGAGTCGAGGCTTCGGATACGACTCTTCCCCAGTGTCTCAGATGGAAACCGGCCTAATCGCTACCAAATGGAATGCTGAGTGCCACGTTTCGCCTATCTAAGACAGGCACGGTTCAAGCGCCAATCACATGTCACACCGCCATACTTGCTGTGCACAACACGACGGCAACAGGGACGGCTAGTAGCTTATGAGCTCATTGGGGATCTACTGTGTATGATTGATGGTCATTGTTGTTTCAGCCTCGCATTCAGTCAAGGTGCCCGCAGCCTTGCGCTCAGCTCATTATGTCCAGCCACCGCAGCCGCCCCCACCAATCATGAGCATGCACCCAAGAGAAGCAAAAAAGAGACAGCATAGCTGGATTTCTCCCCTCCGCGAATCGCTATGATAGTCAGCTTCATGTTCCGAACTGGGGTGTCGTGGAGGTAACCTACAACGAGGGTTTTCTGAACGCTTTGATATTACAGTCAGACGTGCTAAACCACTGCACCAAGGGGAGTTCACGCATACGATGTGCTTGGCTTGCAATTTTGTATGGGAACACTATAAATTTATTCAATTACATAGCAACCTACACTTTTGAGATGCTTTCTCGCGAGGGCAAGTAGCCGTTGCATTCGTGGCTACAAAAAAAAAGACCTGAAGGTGCATCGAGCTTCAGCTCGCCAAGTCGTAGGCACAATGATGACCCGGCTCAGGAACGAGCAACCTCAGCAAAGGGCAAAAAAGAGCGTCAGGCCAGATATTCTCCCCGCCGCTGGATCGAACAGGGGGTTTCTGAATAATGTTCCATTACAGTCAGACGTGTTGCCACTACACCACGGGGAGTCGATAGTCAAATGCATCAAGCGATGCGTGTGGCTCGTGTGCTTCATATGAGAGATCAATGAATTAAACTCAACATATACCCAGACAATACCAAATTTCCTGAGCTCTTCTGTTTCCTGGCTTTATGTTGTTGTAAGCCTGCAAAAAGGAAGTACCCACACAAGGATGCTCAGCTGGAGTGCCTCAGCTCTCCTCGTCCAGCCACCGGTCTCAGCACTCCGACAGCGATCCAGACACGACCAGAAAGAAGGAAAATCCAGATTGGCAAAAACATAGAAGGCTGTGAGTCTTCTCCCCACCAAGAATCGAACGAGGGTCTCCTGGAAAACATTCTGAACATTACAGCCAGGCGTGTTAAACCACTACACTATGGGGAGTATAAGCGTCACATGACGCCCATAGCCTTGGGTTTCTTGTATGACAGAGAGGTGAATGAGACAATTCATATAGCACATGGTTTTTCTTTGAGTGCTTTGCCTGTGTCCGCGGCGTCCTGAAACGTTGCGTGTTGTTGGTGGCCGTGGCTGGATCAACCTCAGCTGAGCCGAGATGTGCGTGCATTTCGCCCTGCGTTGGCGTGCCTCAAAAGGGTACTCGAGGCTTGCGTCGTCGGTAAATTGCATGATTCCATGATCTTTCGAGTAAAGTGCGGACTGGATCAGGGCATAGGCCGTAGATCTGTCAAGCTGTGTGGAGAGCGCTGCGTACGAAGAGGCGCAATTCTATCTTAGCCTGCTGTCGCTGTTCGTTCACCGTGTAGGGGTAGTGACTCGACTGAGCATCGTCGTCTGTGTCAAACAAGCTGTTTATCTAACATTTTAATGCGATCGAATGTCGCTACGTTCGTGGTGTTGGTGAAGGTGCGTAGGTAATTTTGCGTGTGCGACGACACTTTGCGGAGTAGACAGTGCGGAGCAAGCGATGATGTCATGCCCATACAAATCTCCCTCAAACTCAGACTCTACCACATTAGCACAACGACGACCAGGGACACTGACTACTGCCATAAAGGTATCATTCATTATATGAAGATTTTAAGACCCGCTACTTATCTGTCAAACACCCCTCGTGACTTTCCGGACGATTACCCTCCCTTTTGACTTCCTTCACATCGTACCTCCCTTCTACCAATGTCCAGCGAACCCTAGGTCCACCTCAAATTTTTCGTCGCCATGTCGCGGACTTCAGTAGTTTTCAATTGTCACATCCGCCACGCGGTGTTCCCAGAGAGCTTGTAGGAGATTAGCAAAGGGACCGAACAAAGTTTCGTAAGCAACCACAATACGTAACAGGCGCCAACCGAAGCCTCAACCGTCTAGATAAGTCTATCCCAAGTATCTTTGGGTCTTAGCGAACATTCTTGATACGCTTTATATCCTTGCGCGCTGCAGGGGCAGATTGATAAGGTGACGTTGGTGCTGACTCTGTCGTGGCAGGATGGTAAAGGTATACAAAAGAACGTTGAATGTGGCCAAGTTCAGTCCTAAGGTGTATGCGCAATACTTGATAGACAAACAACTTATCTGCTCTCCGTCAGCCTCTTTCTCTTCGTCCTTTCATTAATACTCTCTATCACGATGTTTCTGTATTTCCTCCAAATCCTCTTCCTCGTCACGGTCCCAATCCCCTCCCTCGCCTTCTCCAACTTCCGCACTTGCACAGACGGCAACTGCGCACGCTCAAACCGCACAATCGACATGATTACCAGCTATTGGCGGAAGTTTTGAGATCCTCGAGCTCGAACCAGGATGTAAATGCGAGTCTTTCTGGCTTGTTGGCCATAGAGTACGGTTGACGTGTAGCAGTAACGTTATATGAAGGCAGCACAAGTGGAATGTGCTCAAGCGAGACACAAGCAGCAGGACGAGTCGAGATGTGTTATGGTTCGCCGTGGATGCATTATGCTATTGCAGGATGTAGAGCGCCTAGCACTACTTCGTCAACGGCAGTCTCGGCTGCCTCCTCGAGCACGGCTGCATCAACGTCAACAGCGAGTGAGACTGGCAAACGAAGAAGTCAAGACGCACAACATGGCGGACTGATTGCAGGCACAGTTGTCGCAACTATATCAGGCGTTGCCCTCATCCTCACAGGGACCATGGTGCTCGTTCGGCGCGCATCATAACATGTGCCAAAACGATCGCATGAGCTGTCGAACGATCACGTGCTTGTTGAGATGGTCTCAATGGAAAAGCAGGTGCCAAACGAAATGTGGGCTGATGATGCGGCTGCGGAAATTGGGCGGCACAGCCGATTAGATGAGTCGTTGAGAGTGTGAATTGAGAAGACGAGCATAGGAGAACAGTGCGAAGGCGGATTTGGATTTGCCGCCCAGCATAGCTTGGGAGACTGAGGTGACATAATTTCTCGTACCAGTATCTTGCCCTCCTGTGGTTCAAGAGCACGTAATGATAATTTTCGGTAAAGATCAAATCCTCCACCAGTGCATCGAGCGCTCTACAGACAAGTTCCTGATACTGTCTGAATCCAGTGAACCTCGACGAAGATTAGATACTGTATGAAGGCCAAAAGTATTGAGCAAATCTTACACTCATGCCTTTATCGCCAGCCGTAATCCTGCTCGAAGGGTCGTCTGACGCCTACGAACGAGGTTAAATTCTATATGGTGAGTGCAATTCCGTGCATAGCGATAAGCGCAGACGGAACACAAATGCGTACGGCATGATCGGGGTGACAAGTCTCGACATGCCGCCGTTAATAGATGCGCACTCGCCACATACCTGATGAGATTCAATCCGCAAGTAGCTGCTCGATCGAATGACCATAGAAATCTCAAGGTGAGAAACGTGCTCAGTGCATGTTTTCATATCTTGGCGCTTTGCATTACCAAAAGCGTCGCATAGAGGTGGGTTATGTTCATAGCAGCCCAGCAGCTGCCAGGTCCTTGTAGACCTTCTCAGGCATGACGTTGCCCTCGAGGTCTTCCATCTGCACCACGTTCTCAGCCTGTGCCTTTTCCTTCTTCTTCTCTTTCTGTATCTTCTTCCACAACTCCTCGGCCTCTTGTATGCTCGTAATTTCTCGGAACATGGACGTGTTGGTGATGCCCAGGCACTTGAGGCCATGTATATGGCGAGGCTCATTAAAGTGCTTGTCGAACGCACGTCTGCCCATGTAGACAAAGTTTCCGCAGATCTCGCAAGGAAATTCCACGCCAAGACCATGGAGCTTGTAGAGCCAAAACGGGATGGGCTTGCCGTCCCATGCGAGTGGTAGCTTCAATGGGTTGTAGATCTTGTCTTCTCCGTCCGAGTCGTTATCTTCCTCGTTCGCTCCGGTATCCGGTGTTTCAGAATACATCTGCTCCAGCTCTTGCTGACGTTCACGCTCAGTCATGCCTTGTTTTCGCTCGACGTTGACCTTTGTGTCGCCGCGCTCTGTCTGCATAGCGGCAGCAAGCTTCTTGATCCGAAACTCTCGCTCTGCTACGGCACGCTCCTTGAACCGTTGCAGGTCCAATGATGCGCCGTTAGGTCTAGCGGTACTGTTTTCCGAGGCAGCGCCCGCGCTTTCTTGTATGGCCTTTTTGTGTTTCTTGCCCGTCAAATGTGCCTCATACACAGTCTCTTTCGAGAAACCCTTCTTACAAGCGGAGCACCAGATGCCTTCGCCTTGCACATCGCCATTTGTAGCAGTCGCTGATGCTGGAGTTATTTTCTCCCATCCTGGGACCTCATCCTTTGCCCACAGCTCTTCGAACTCCTTGTCGAAGTTGGCAAAGAGCCTGTCCAGGTTCTCTAGTGGTTTTGTGCGGCGCATAAAGCTCTCGAGATAGTCTTGCAATGCTTTCAGATACTGGAAATAGGTCTCGGATTTCTTCTGGTCGCGACGAATACTGTTTTGGGGTGGGGCGAAGGCATCGAAGAGGTCGAGGTATTGCAGGTAGGTCAAGCGGCGCGCATGCTGATGGACAGGCAGATTCAAGTACTGTTCGTGCAGTGTGGTCAGGTCAAAGAAGCGCCCAGAGCCTTCCTCCCCAGTAAACATGCTGTCGATGCGCGCAGTGGAGAGCACGCGGTCTTCGGGCGTGCGCTTCTTGTACGCCTTCTCGAGGTTCTCCACAGGCTGATTTGGGTAACGCTTGTGGAACTCTTTGATGGTTGAGATCTCCTTCATGAAGGACTCCATAGGATCACCAAGAGTGAGGTTGCGAGCTTCCTCTTCGAGACCCTTGTCTTCATAGATGGACAGCAGCTTTACGGACTGTGACTTGATTTGTTCGAGATGATGCGCAATTTCGTGATCACGTGCTAGGCGGTCGCGAATCTAGTATATGCTCAGCTAAATAAATGCGCGACACGTTGAAGAAAGACTTACGTGTGGAGGATCTTCGAGAAGGAGGTCCGCGGACGCATCTTCGAGGCGCTCGAGTTCCTCGTGGATCTGGCGCTGGTCTTCCAAGAGCATGATTGCGGTCGCCTAGAGCGTATGAGTAATGCGCGAGGCAGCAGAATTGTGAGTATGTGCGAACCTTGGGCGGCGTTGTGGTGTACTGTTGGAGCTCAGGTTGCCGCGAGATAAATCCATCCACCTGCGCTAGCGGCCCGTACCTGCCGAGGTATTGCCGCCGCAGCCTCAACTCCAAACTTTCTTGCGCGACACCGACGACATCACATTTCCACCTTCTACCCCAAATCTCAAAGCCACACGAATAATCAATATGGCGGACGGAATCGATCGAAATGCGGACGAAAAGATGGAGTTCTCCACGTCCAAGGAGGTCACTGTTGCGCCAACCTTCGAAGCCATGCACCTGAAGGAGAACCTTCTGCGCGGCATCTATGCCTATGGCTACGAGTCGCCTTCAGCAGTCCAGTCGCGTGCGATTGTGCAGGTCTGCAAAGGTCGCGATACTATCGCACAAGCGCAGTCCGGAACAGGAAAGACAGCCACATTCTCAATCTCCATCCTCCAGGTCATTGACACAGCGGTGCGCGAAACTCAAGGTAAGGCGCATATATCGCCATGCTAGTAGGCTGCTGATAAATTTAAGCGCTTGTTCTATCACCCACCCGTGAGCTGGCTACCCAGATCCAGTCAGTCATCATGGGTCTCGGCGACTACATGAACGTACAGTGTCATGCGTGTATCGGAGGAACCAACGTCGGCGAGGATATCCGCAAGCTCGATTACGGCCAGCACGTTGTATCTGGAACGCCAGGTCGCGTCGCCGACATGATTCGCCGCCGCAATCTGCGCACGCGCAACATCAAGATGCTGGTTCTGGACGAGGCTGATGAGCTGCTCAACCGTGGTTTCCGCGAGCAGATCTACGACGTATACCGCTACCTACCACCTGCGACGCAAGTTGTGGTCGTCTCGGCCACTCTTCCATACGATGTGCTCGAGATGACAA